CATTTAATTACTTATATATATATATTTTTTAAACTTAATGTTAGACAGTTTGATTATTATTTTTGGAAGGGAAGATGTTACGATATGTACGGGCTACCTGTACCGGTAGCGCCCACGGTGTGGTGCGTCAGCGGAGATACGATATATAAACAACATTTACGAACATCTAGGGGTCATTCGATTTAGACATTGTACGTTAGTTATATAAGAGATAATAAAGATCAAAACACATTTATTTTTTATTTATTTATTTAAAAATAAATAAATATAAATACGTACAAATAGTTTATATCAGTGAACATGCAATAATAAATTGAGAAAAATGAAATGCTGCTTTTCAAAAGGCCATGTGATTACGCTAAAATTACAATTTTTGAATATCAATACAATACAGGACAATATACATAATTATACACGTCTAATACATTTAATACGCTACATTTAATTACACATTTAATGCGACTGAATAGAAATATTGAATATTCTGACTCATTAACGTGACCTAGCAATGTGAAAAATAAATCATATATCCCCTACTTGACTCAAAATAACCTATACATACCACTAATCGCATGACTGAATGCCATGCTATTACTTATAATAAATGTTTAGGTAAACAGATACAACGCTAAAGTATTTTATGTCTCAATTTAAAGGGAGAAGAATTAAGGCGTGTCTAAAGTTCTAAACATCTTCAAGCTAGGAAATTAATTTCTTAAGGAGAGATGCGATTCGACAACGCAGCGCTGCCCGACAACTTTGATCCCGGTTTAAGTTTTTCAAATATTTAGAAGCGCTATAACATTTTGAGTTATTTGGTCTACGTATCTTTTAAAATTTCTTTTCAATGACTGTTTTATTAACTTCCAAAAACTGAGAAATTACGGCGCGTTGTCGAATCGCGTCTAGCCGTCTCGGCCTTCATTGGTTGTTACTTAAAGAATAAAGGACTCGAAAATTGACGGTGTTATTTTTTGGCTAATTTGAAAGATCATATATTGAAAACTGTAGAGTAACTTCTTTGACAAATTTTTGTTTTCTTTGCTTCGTTTTATTATTTAATTTTGTTTAATATTTAATTTTGTATGATATGCAAAGGACCAATGTTCTACGTCAACATGCATAGGATGACTAGTACTTACTTTAAAATGTTATATAATTTTGTCACTATCAAATAACTATTCGCTCAAAATGAATGATGAGCACGAGATTTGTCCACAACAACACCCATGTTGAGGTTTTCTACTGATTGCGTTTGGTCGTATATTAAAGATGATATACGCCTTTTAGGGCGAAATCATTATTGACGTAGGAAGTTGCATGGTCCTTTGCATATCATACAAAATGAAATATCTTCAAAACGAAGCAAAAAACCCCAAAAATCTATCGGGGAAAGAGTGTGTTGGCCGTGGGCGAAAGTTCTTCTCGTTGTTTTTATAAACAGTTCAATAACACTGAAAATTTCGAGTGAATCAATTTATTTATTTCTCTATGTCAATGATGTGAGCAGCGATTTTATTTCTAAAGGAAGAAAGAGTTTTGCTTTCCCTATAATTTCCTTTGGAATGGAAGTCCAAAGGTATGCTCCGTCATACATGAAACTATTTTTCATATTGTTAGCACGCGGATTTGGTAAACTTAGACCTCTTGAAATCTCCCTAAGGTTTTAATTTGTTTTCTCGCTTTTGTATGAAAAAAAATTAGTAAGTGAGTTGGGACCCATTTTATTTAACACTTTACATCAATTTTGCCTTATCTTTCTAATGGTAGTAAAGATAGTTCGTCGTATATTATCAATCGCATGAATTTAATACAGTTTTAGAAGTTGAAGACATGGCCGTTTTATGGTTGCGAAGAGTTCTGCTCATGGGCGTACCGGAAGGAAAAAATTAGGGGGGCGGAAAGAAATTTGCCCGACTTTTCGGGATTGTGCCCGACTAGTAATTTTTTCCGGAAAAATTATTTCGGCGACCTCCCCCCCCAAATTAAAAAAAAAAAAATGACCACAAAATTGACTGAATTTTCTACTAAATTGTCTGAATTTGTCCCATTTATTTTTATTACAAACCAAAATTGCCCGACTGTTGATCGAATATTGCCCGACTGCACAAAAAACTGGGGGGACTACCGCCCCCCCCCCCCCCCGCCCGGTACGCCTATGGTTCTGCTAAACCCAGTTTGAAGTTGCACTTGTTGTGGCTTGGAATGCAGCCGTTGTATCAAGATGTGAAAATCTGTGATTTGGCGTTGTAAACAGAGTGAGGACAATGTCTAAATTATTCCTATATATTGTAATTACTCAATTATTTTCAATGATCTATTGTACTGGTAGCCGTTGCCGTCCAAAAATCGTAATAGGGACCTTACGATTTTAGGACGGCAACGCGACGGCGACGGCCAAAACAAACTCCTTCAAATAAATGGTAGTAAAGATAGTTCGTCGTATATTGCACATCACTGAATCGTATGAATTTAATACAGTTTTAGAAGTTGAAGACATGGGTTTTATGGTTGGGAAGAGTTCTGCTTAACCCAGTTTGAAGTTGCACTTGTTGCGGCTTGGAATGCAGCCGTTGTATCAAGACGTGAAAATCTGTGATTTGGCGTTGTAAACAGAGCGAGGACAATGTCTAAATTATTCATATATTGTAATTACTCGATTCTTTTCAATGATCTATTGTATTGGTAGCCGTTGCCATCGCCTTGCCGTCCTAAAATGAGGGTCTGAATGGGGTTAACTGACTACTGACATTTGCCTGAATTTTTGACTGACAACTGACAAAATGTCCTAACTGACAACTGAGAAATAATGAAAAAACCATGAGTCAGCTTTTTTGCAGTAACTGACTACTGACAGCTTGCAATATATCGCACTGACAACTGACAACTGGCTTAAATTTTAGCTGACAACTGAAACCCATAGACCCCCATTAAGACCCTCTAAAATCGTCTCTATTTTTGTAAACCGGAAACGTTTTCGTTTGCAAAAGACACACCTCCGGTATACCTCCCAGAGAGCTGTAGCTTAGCAACAATAAGCGAACAAGATGAAAATATTAAAAACTTTCACTTTTGAAATACTGCAAAATTAGCACAAAGTTAAAGAAACGAAGACATTCAAATTAAAGAACAAGAGACAACACATGTAAGTTTAAACATATTGTAGGTTTTACGAGTGATTTGATCGAGTTTTGGTGCAGTTTTGTGCGTTTAAAATTGGAAATACGATATGGCGATAGCCGAATTTACCTTGTTTTAATTGCTTGTCCCTGACGCTTTTATAAATTTGCTTTTGTCGGCATTTTGACCATGTTTGATAGAAGATTATGTTCTTTATAATTTGCCTGTTCCTTTTTGTGAAATTTCAAAAAGAAAAGAAAATTCTTTGCAATTCTTTGGTTCTAGAAAAAATAGAGGATGCGTAGCCAGGTTGAAACATTGAACGTTCTCTGACTAAATATTTCTACGAGAACTCGTAGAAATAAATATACTTAGTCAGAGAACGTTCAATAATTGTTTGATAGTTTAGTGTACTATAGCTAACCATATTTTTTGTTTTTATTTGCAAAAAATTGCTTAGGTATAGTCAAGAGTAGTCATGACATATGTAATTTTTTTGCTTTGCTCATTTGCCATATCACATTTTTCTTAAAATTGATTGGCTGTTTCAATTCCTTAGTCTGCGATAGCAGACTGATCTCAGCCGCCCCCCCTGCCCGCCGGTTTCTCCACCGCTCCAGGGGGGGGGGTCAGCTGAAATCAGTCTGCTATTGCAGACAATGAATCCTATGATTAAATATGAATGGACGTCTTGGCTGAAGTCAACACTCAAATGTGACTGGTTGAAAGAAGGTGTGATTTCAGCAAGAATCGCACTGCTAGGATTTGTGGTGAAATCGCACCTCTGTGAACCAAACAGATTGCAGGAAACACCATTGATTTCAAAATGAATATACTGTAATATATAAAACCTAATACATGGAATAATTTAGTTTAGATTAGTTTTATTAGTTTATGTATATCATTTAGTGACTACAGATACACGGCAGGGGCCGGTTGTTCAAAGTGGGTTTCATGCTGGAACACTTTTAAAGTGCGAAAGGTTTACCGCCTTCAATCCAGTGATGTTTTCCAGGGGGAACGCCGTCCCCCACCTTTTTTACCAGGGGAACAGCATCCCCCCTGCCAAAATCCAACTTGGGGGAACGCCGTTCCCCCTGGCAGGGATTAAATATGAGTGAAGTTCAGTGAACACCGTTTGATACCATCCAAATAATTTTGGCATCACTTGTTCTACATACAGTACGTGTTATTTTTACCAACAATTAATTATTGCTCAGCGTCCTACGTAGACATACTTCAGAACGTAATTGTGTCCCTATTTTAATCTCCCTGAAACTTGATATACTTGCATAAAATTCTAGCAAAAATACGAGAGTCTGATAATTGACGTCTGCTTAGATAAGTACTTACCAGTCATAAGCGCGGATAACGTCTCTTGCGCAATCGCGAAATTGAACATTCAAAGTAAAGTCAACGTGGTTTTATTTGCTTTTTGACATCTACCACGTGCAAGCTAGGTGTTTTTTAGGTGCATGTTGTACTAAATCCACTGCAAATATTAAGCTATTGCGTATGTGCTTGTTCACTATGACTATGCATAGGGCCACGCCCATTTGCGTGACCACGCCCATTTGATTTTCAAGACCGCCCCCCCACTTCTAAAATTAGCAAAACATTGCTGCTTCAATCATGAGAACAAACATGTGACACAAAGTCAGCGAAAGGAAAACAGACATCGGGGTAAAATACCTAAAAACATTGGAGAAAAGTATCCCGGGACAAATGTCCTCGGAAAAAAATATCCCGGAGAAAAATACCCCTGAAAGACATGCATATAGAGTTAAACCAGAACATATGGCATAGATAGAAATGTATTTCTACCTACCGGCATTTGAGGCTAGTAGTCCAGAAACTAAGTATGCATGAAAATACTAAATGAAAGTCCCTGTTTTCTCTTTAATGTCGTTTCTTTTTTGAGAACAAAAAAACTTACCTTTCCACTGTGAGCAACCGTGCCAAAATATATCTCAAGTCAAAATTCCTTATCTTAAATCATTAAATCAGTTAATCTAAGTTTAAAGCTTTGCCAATAAAAATAATAATTGTTTTCAGAAATACAAAATAATTCTATTGATCGCCATCAAAAATCACAAAAAAATTAATTAATCTTATTATATTATCACTATACACTTACATCTACTTATTTCATAACAATTGAATGTTCTACTTTATATTGCTAATATGTCAATGTTCAGATTAAAATGTTTTAGTTGTTGAACAAAAGGTATATTAGCATGCTAAGTGTTTTTCAACGAAACCACATGTTCAATATTTACACAGAGACTATATATAGGTTATATCTAAAACTTTTACATGATTAAATTCATAAGTAATTTATACATACAATATAAGTTAATATTTACATAGAAATTATACAAGTTATATATAAAGTGGAAACACAATACGCTTCACAGTAAAGTTAACCCACTGATCTGAAAACACTGGATGGAGTTTCCTTTTGTATTCAATAAACCAATTTTGAAGTCAGAATATTTATAATCAGATGAGATCTTAAACTCTGTCAAAATCTCTGCAAATCGGAACACGACGTGTTTAAATTAGCTACATTATGAAGCAAATATCTTTTCCTATGTAACTTAAGAAATATAGCTTGCCATATTTCTTCTAATGAGTTTTAGAACGTTTTAAACACTAGATAATGAGACTTGTGGCAGCCATCTTGGTGTGACATCAGTTATTCACGAGCAAATTTAAGGAGGAAGAGAGGCCAGTGTTGATAAATTTATATTCAGATAATGTTTATCCTTTCTCAGCGATAACTAGAAACTGTAAGAACCTCTTACACTATTTCATCAACACCACAGTAGATTTGTGCTGCTCATATCAATATGGCCAACATTGCCTTCATTTCTGCATAGAGGATGCACTATCCAGCGCTAGGTTTGAGGTCAGCGAGTTAACCCAAGTGCAGGTCATTGATGATGGTTATAATTTCATGTCGTGTAGATACTAAATATGGAAATGAAAAGGAAATAAATAACATTGACTGAAGCCTGAGCATTAAACAACCCTGAACCGTAACCATCATTCAAGGGTTAGAACTCAGGGCCGGTGTTTTATGATCAGGTCAATGTTATTTATTTTCTTTTGTGTGCATATTTAGTATCTACAGGACATGAAATTATAAATCTGATGATCAACGCTCATAGCACACAGTACCGTAAATGATCCAATAAACGCCCTGGGCGTTGATTAAATTTTCGTACCTTGAAGGGGGCGTTTATTAGATAAAGGCGTCTATTAAAGAGGGGCATTTATTCTTACATACAGCATATCTAGGCTTCTTAAATATTACACTTTCCAAGAGCATCTATCACATAAGAGGCTTTTACGGAGAGACGCATCTGGTTCAAACAAGGTCTGGGTTGACCGGGGTGTCTATTACATACGAGGCGTGTATTAGAGAGTGGTCGTTTATTGGATCATTTATGATATTCATGCAAAGGCGAATAAGAATTTTATATGGATATCTCTTCAGTTGCAAGGTTTTACTACAGCAGTTGCAAGGAATCTTTTTTCCTTCATCCTTGGTAGTTCCCTCCAATGATCACCTCCCATTGTGAAACGTTCTACTGAGTTGAGATGCCCCTCCTCGTCATTCCATCCTCCCAATACAACAATGACGTCATTCATAATTACTGCAGAGGAACCACACCTCTTGTGTATCAGTTGAGGCAACTTCTGACTTTCTCCTGTGTCAGTGCCGTACATGATGACGTCATTTAAGATCTGGTCATTCTTATCGCTACCGCCAATGACAATGATTTTGTTACCCCAAGTAACTGTGGACATAGCGCAGATAGGCTTGGGTAACGATGGACATGGTTTGAGCTCATTCTTGATGAAATCATACACGACAACGCTATCAATGGCGTCTTTACTAAGGCCTGTTGCCCTTCCTCCCAAGATAAATAGTTTCCGATTTACAATTTCTGCTCTGTGGTTTTGTCTTGGCTGAGGCATTCTAGCCAGTGGCTTGGCAGTATAAGGCGGGATAATGGACAGCTCGTAGATGTTATCGTTTGTTTTCTTTTCATTCCAGTTATATCCTCCCATGGCGTATAGTTTACCTTGATAAACTATAACGTCATGACCAGATAACTTCACCGGCAGTTTACCATCAAACATCATCCATTGCAAAGGATCCTGGTTTATCTTTAAAATTTCAATGCTGTCTGTGCCAACTTGGCCATCGTGGCCGCCAGTTATGATGACGTCACCATTGTAAACAAATGATGCTAAATTTACTCGGGGGTGATTCAGTTTCGGTAGATGAGTCGACTTCCCACTTACTATATTGAATTTCTGAACTGTATTCGAAACACGTGCTCGGGCATAATAACCGCCAAGAATGATAATGTCTTTGTTGTTGTCTGGAACTGGTGGATTTGAAGCTTGCGCGCCATTGTTGTTTATATTTCTTCCTTCCAACAGCTGATTGAACATTTCCGTCATTTTTTCAAATTGGTTTCGTACCTCTACTTCAAACGCAATTTGATCTGCTTTCATTTCTGCTTGAGTTTGCTTCATCTCGTCAACATTATCCTGAATAATAAAATTAGTAAAACCTTGCATATCTAGGTTGCTGGGTTAATGGTCAGATCAGGCCTCGAATTTCCCTGAAATCAATCACGGCAATGGCGTTAAAAATTGCCGTAGAACGCGTAACAGCTGTCTACGGCAATTTTGGCAGTTTTCACGGCACTTTTCAAATTACTGTAATAAAACTTTATTGTTACTTTGGATTTTTGACAAGGTAGAAATACGTCTACGTATTTCTTTAGTGTTTTTTTTTCGAAGAAAACTGAGATTAAAATAGTGATTTACGCATGATTTGATCAACATCTGAATTCAAGTTCAAAGTAGTAATGCACAGTGAATAGTATAAAAATTGCACTATACGGCAAAAAATTGTCGTCGTTGCCGCAACGATCGACGGCATTTTGTTCTCCCTCTATAGCCAGCGTGGCAGGCTCTTTTATAAGAAGAGCCTGCCCGAAAGCCCTAGTAAAATTGATCACGCCTACTTAGTTAATATTCCATATTAACACCGCCCACTTGAAATAGTTTTGTATAAATGTGACATAAAATCATACAACATATGCAGTAATAACAGTATGGCTTGCCTTATTCTGTTTAGATACCGGTATATGTTACACATTTTACACTTTGACTTTTGAATTTTATATTTTAGCCGACAGGTTTACACTTTAATAGCGATGCCGTTTGTTTGTACTGTATTTATTTTTAAATTTTTGAATAAATTAGCGTAACATGTCAATCAACCTGTCGTCAATGTAAATTCAGCCAATCACAATTCTCGGCAGCTGGGCTTTACTAGGGCTTTCGTGCATGCTCTTCTTCAATTATCTGCCCTATAAAAGAGCCGGCCACGCTGGCTACTCCCTCTATATTCGAGCCCTGGGTCAAATATGTCAGAGATTGCACTGCATACCTTTTGATAAGATTTCATGCAGTGAGTAAAAATACCTAACACACATGATTGTTCTGTTTTGTGAAAAACATCAGGTTGATCGTTTTTTGACCAAGCTTGCATCTGTAAGCTCAAATCTTTGTCAATAAATAATGAAAATCTTAGGGCTTACAGATTGAAAACTTTATGTTTTCAAGTAGACGTTCGCGTATGCAGCGTTTTTACCAGTAAAACAATCATAATAAAAGCACCCAACACAATCTTGTCTTACCTTTATTTTATTCACTTTGACATTCATAGCATCTTGAGATTGCTTTATCGCGTCACCATTTTCCTAAATTAAAGTAGAAGTGTTAAGATGTCTCATAGATGACCACAGATGCGAATGACATGCACGAGTGACGAAAAAGCCGGTTCGGAATATATAGCAGAATTATTATAAATGCCGAAAAAGTGCTTTAATAAAAAAATCATTTCTTTGCCGAAATTCGAATTATACTTATAATCAAAGAAGGATGATTTTTAAAAATTCACATTTATTTACAGCAAACGTTTCTTGATCTCTTGTGGTCAAACGTGGTCCAGGTGTATTTTCAAATCAGATGAAATAATAAACTGTGGTCAATACAGTAAGTAAAATTAATCTTATAATTGTTCTATTTTCTGAAAAATAGTAGGTTCATCTGTTCGACGAGACTTCCCATCCGTAAGCCCGGATATGTAGCGAATGTGCATTGATGAAGATGTTGACTTAACTTGGGAAGGATAGCTTGTCTTCCATTCCACTCCACCGTTGTGTGTAGTGGACTGGAAGATAGGCTAGGGAATGAAAGGTTTGGAAAGTCGATAAATGTAACTACATGAGCCTAAAGAAACGATCGAACTAAATATTCTACATGCGTGGGAATGGATATATTTGCCCCTTATATGGGTCTAAAACCCAGCGGGGATTGATCTGTCTGACGAAGCTTGCAATCCGTAAGCTCAAATTTTCATCAATAAAATCATACGTGCAATGATGAAGATCTTAGGGCTTACAGATTGAAAGCTTTTCCAAGTTTTCAAGTCAGATAAATGTAGCGTTTCTACCCGTAAAACGTAATTGTTCGCTATATATAAGCCTTAAAAGCACCAAACACAATCTTGTCTTACCTTCATTTGATTAACTTTAACATTTATAACACCTTGAGATTTCTTGATCTCGCCAACATTTTCCTAAATTAAAGTATATGCTTTAACTCTCTATATTACGGTCGGATCATAGGGAGCTTTTCATTGAACTCAGGGAATGAAAAGTTTGGCAAGTAGATAAACGTAGCTACACGAGCCTAAAGAAGCTCGACACAATTTTGTCTTACCTTCATTTGATTTACTTTATCATTTATATCATTTTGAGATTGCTTTATTTCGTCAACATTTTCCTAAATTAAAGTATACGTGTTCAGATATCTGAGATGTGACGCTGACCATGATCATGAGTGACCAGGACCAGCACACGAGTGAATGACCTGCACTCATTCATTCATTCAGACTTTATTTCATGAGGGTAAACACTTGACAGTAAGTGTGAACTACTGATAAATTCGTGGCCCTCCTTACATAACTACAATTAAGCTAATACAATACTAAAACTTATAAAAACTCTAAAACTACTATATTTACAAATAAAATAACCCACCACCAACCTAAGCAATTTCTAAACGCATGGCGGACTTCTGGTCCGTTAAAATGTTAGTATACAAACTGCGTTTAAACGTAGATATAGATTTCTGTTTGCGCAATGTAACATCGAGGGCGTCCAATCTTTAATAGTTCTAACGGTGAAAGTGGGCCCACTTTCAGTCTCTCTAGTGTATTTTGGGCACACCATGTTCATATTATTAAAGCGATTGAAACCCGGTTCAGAATAGCAGAATTGTCGTGAACGGTGAAATAGTATAATTCTCGGCATGGAATGGAAAGCCATGTTTACTGAGATGTGGATTATAGCTGAAGATTCATCATTTTCTAAATTCATATTTATTTACACGAAACGTCTCCTTGTCACTTGTGGTCCATCGTAGCTTTGCTAAGTAGATAAATATAACAGACTATATTGATTGCTCAATTTATAACCCTTAAAAACTCTACACCTTGTCTTACCTTCATTTGATTTACTTTAACATTTATAACGTCTTGAGATTTCTTGATCTCGCCAACATTTTCCTAAATTAAAGTATATGCTTTAACTCTCTAAACCTATAGGGAGCTTTTTATTGAACTCAAGGGTGTCAATGATATTGATCGCCATACAAGTCTGCAAAGAACAACTAAACAATCATTTCTTACCTTCATTTCCTCTTGTTTCCTTTCTATTTCTTCCATCTCAATGTTCACTTTACTTTGGAATTCCTGAATTACAGTATTAGTGTTAAAATACTATGGTTATGGTTTGGCTAGTCCCAGACTCCTGCGGCAAGTAATTTCGCGCGGTTGCTGGGAGTGCGAATTGTTTTTTTTCAACAAAGTTTGCAACAAACAATTATATCGAGACTTGAAGTGAAAAAAAAGTTTCTTAAAGGAGAAAAACCCATTCCCGTGGGGTTTTTTACGAAAAGCAATAGTTCTGAACAGAATATACAGAAATCGTCGTTTGAAAATACATTTTCAACGTTGTTGTGCAAGCCAAAACAAAACACGAAAAATCAAGACAAACTCAAACTCAATAGGTATGTTTTAAAAAATATATTTCAACTGTTTTATAATATAAATGGAGTTCAATAATCTTTTTAAACTTACACAACTACTTTTTATATTTTTCTATACGTTGCTTGAGCTTGAGGTAAATGTTTTCGACGATTATTTACGCGATTTACACTTTATCGACAACTAAATATTTTTGTTTCAAAAACATGAAAACACTTCGTTTAGATTGAAGAAAAACGAAACCCGACGAAGAATGAACAATCATTTCGTAATTTCATAAAATATTAGCAAAACAGTTACGTTCAGAGCATGCAAAAATGTTTTATGAGTAAATTATATTTTATACGCGAAACTACTTTGTTTTTACAAGGCTGCACGATTTTCACCGTTTTTGTAACGGCACATTTGCTTTGAGCCCGTTCAAAGAACTTAATATTTCAAATTCTATCCCCAAACTACAAATGCAAAACGTTTTGACGATGAAAACTTTATAGTTTTAGCTTTGTCTATAGTTTGTAGTTTGCACTCTACTCAAATTCAACATGGCGGATTTATAAGGGCATTTTGTTTTCAATTTGGATACCGGTCACGTGACCAAGCACGCATTCTAGGTCTAATTTCTATGCTTGTATCTCACTCAAAACGGAGCCGTCTTGTTCTCGTCGCTATTTACACTGACACAGATCGTTCGAGACGATATCTACATTACAATTATAATGATTGGCAGGGGTTTCAGAATAAGCCGGCGGCCGGCGGAGTTCCGCCGGCTACTTGAACTTTTACCGCCGGCTACTTTTCGTCTGGTCACAGGAAAAATTTTATATACAAAAGTACAAGCGAACCAACACGATGTTTGTTATGTTCCAATTGGAATTCAAGTTGGCCTCGAATTTCCCTGAAATCAATTGACGGCAATGGCGTTAAAAATTGCCGTAGAACGTAACAGTTGTCTACGGCAATTTTGTCAGTTTCCACGGCATTTCTTTTTTCAAATTGCTGTAATAAAAATTTAATTTTATTGTTACAGACTTTGGATTACTGACAAGCTAGAAACATGTTTACGTATTTCTTTAGTGTTTTTTTTTTCGAAGAAAACTGAGACTAAAATAGTAATTTATGGATGATTTGATCAACATCTGAATTCAAGTATCAAAATAGTAACGCACAGTGAACATGAGTTTAAAAATTATACTATACGGCAAAAAATTGCCGTCATTGCCGCAATGATCCACAGCATTTTGTTCACCCTCTACAGCAATTGATTTTCGAGGGGGAGGGGTTGGAAGATTTCGAAAAAAAAATTCCTGCAATCCAAGGAGAAAGAAAGAAAAAAAAATCATGCAGCATACAATCGAGGAAAAAAATCATGCAAAAGCGCTCAAAAAAAAATTGCTACATGTAAATCTACTCACGTTCTTCACTTCAGTATTGTGCCCACAGACTTCCAAGATTTTGCGGCATTTTTGAGCAGGCACATTTGCTTAAAAGAACACTGGGTGAACAGTGGACAACATCACAGGGATTCTGGCGCCTTTGGAGTCTATAACATACCAGTGGCGTTCCCTGGCAAAATTGTTGCCCCCCCCCCCGTGAGAAAATCTGGGCTTAAGATATGTACAAGTTTATAAGTTATTTATACATATCTAATATGCATGGTAGAAAAAATATTTTTGGATGGTTGAGTCTGTGTGCGTTTTTTGATAACATAGCTCCAAACTATTAAGGCTTCAAAAGCCCATCTACAGGATGCAAGTTGAACGTACTATATATACGATGATTTTAATGCGAAAATGCCAGTTTCGAGAGTCTAGATTTTAAAAAATTTCTGAAGAGGATGCAACCCGATCCCCAACAAGCTATTTGTATGAACGATTGAAAAGCTACAGAGCTATGTTTGGTGGAACATTGTTGTTTCGGAGGGCAGTTAAAAATCGCATTATTGAAATCTTTATTACATATTAATCAAAGCTCATTTTGTGATTTTCCCTTGTTTAAAATAAAGGACAGTAAGTGTTCCTTAGGCTTAGTACAGCAAAGTTGTTGGACGAATCCATGGCTAAAAACGCAGGAAATAGCATTTCCGAGGTTCAAATTTTAAAACTTTCTCGGAGGAGCATGCCCCTGAACCCCCAAGGTTACAGGTCATTCATATACTGTACCTCCCCCATTTTCGAGTACTCTACTTTATCCCTGCATGCTTTAGGTTTTGGTGCAGTTATACATTTTTTTTAAATAAACCTGCACGCTTTAGTGTGAGGAACATTAAGACATAACCATATAAAATAAAGCACAGTGAAAATTCCTTGGCCCCTCTTGGAATTCAGGCTCGGCCTCCTCTGACTGAAAACCCTGGCTAACGTCTCTGAAGATAGCTATATGAAAGCCTTAAGTTACTGTAAGCAGTTATTATGAGGGGGAAAAAAAATATCCTGCCGCGAAATATATTGGGAAAAAAATATCTTGCGCTGCACTTTTACAGGAAAAAATATCTGTCTTATTCCCCTGGGCAGAAAAAAAATTCTTGCACAGACTGAATCTTCCAACCCCCCTCCCCCCCAAAAAAATCAAATGGTCCGCCCCTAAATGCAAATGACATCTAAATCTAACATGTTAATAGTTGTACTTTGTCTTTTTACGTATTCTATATTATTTGATTGTTAATTTGCGGCGAAAATGTTTTAAATTTCCATGCAAGGGCACGCTCCCCTCCCCGCGCGATTTTTTAACTATCAGTCACAGCCGGGTACTTTTTTTGTACAACCGCCTACTTCAAATCATTCTAAAACCC